AATTTTAATAATATTTAATAATATTTCTGTATATTTGATCAAATAAATGCAGCCTTGGTGGGCATAAGAGATTTCGGTAACACTTTATTTTAAGGTTTCCTTGTTACACACGTTACATATACTTACTATTATAATAACAATAAATTATGCATAATTACTAACCATATAGTAAGTACATGTAGTTAATTCATATTACTCAGTACTTAAATGTATAATTACACTGTAAAAAGGGCACCTTAAAATAAAGTGTAACTGAGATTTCTTCCAAAAACAAAACAAAATCTTGGCATATATACGACCATAGTTGAAGAAAACCCCATATAGTTACTGAATGATTACCATATTTACATATCGTCATATTTATGACACTCATATAAACGTTTCAAATTATATCATCAAATGACCATGGTACGTGTCCAAAAACATGGCATTATCATGGTAGTTTTTTGCTTGTGGACAGAACATGAACATATTCTCCTAAAGCAGATTTCCCAGGCTTCACTATGCTTTACAAGAGCTCACTAATGCAATGATATCCAGTCGCAGTGTGTTGGTATCAAACAGTAGGCAGACAGGTACTGTGGTGAAGAAAACCACAGGAGAAGATGTGCAGGAGCGCACCAGGAGAGCCGGGCCAGGTGTGTGTCTGACAACTCTCAGACTGAAGAGCTGGCAGGGAAAGTCACACTCACAGGTGTACGTCAGGAAAACCGCTCCCACACACTGACGCTTTGACAAGCAACAGCAAAGCTCATGCTTATTACGGGATATGCGGTCTCCTTAAGCCCACCTGGGACCAGGCTGCCTGAACAGACCATATGGCACCACTCTTCTGTGATTTTATCACAATTTTAACTGTTTTCCCTGACTTCACAATCCTCTCAACAGAGCGGTGTGGATTATGGGAGGGGACGGAGTGATTTTCAACTTGTCCTCTGTCAAAGACATGCAGCAGCTGAGAGGGAAACCAGAGCTGCCTTATCTTAAGCTGAGAGATTGTTTTGAAATTGCATATGTAAGCGATGAGCTTCAGTTAGCCGGTCCCTATTGCAGAATAAACCCAAATCACATGATCAGGACCATAAGCTAAAGGGTCTTTCATCACTCTGCCCTTATGAAACTAAAATATATGTGACTCTGGGCCACAAAACCAGTCATAAGTGTCAATTTTTCAAAATTGAGATTTGTACATCATCTGAAAGCTGAATAAATAAGCTTTCCATTGATGTATGATTTGTTAGGATAGGACAATATTTGGCTGAGATACAATTTGAAAATCTGGAATCTGGGGGTGCAAAAAAATCAAAATATTGAGAAAATCGCCTTTAAAGTTGTCCAAATGAAGTTCTTAGCAATGCATATTACTAATCAAAAATTAAGTTTTAATATATTTATGGTAGGAAATTTACAAAATATCTTCACGGAACATGATCTTTACTTAATATCATGGTTTTTGGCATAAAAGAAAAATCGATCATTTTGACCCGTACAGTGTATTTTTGGCTATTGTTACAAATATACCCCAGCGACTTAAGACTGGTTTTGTGGTCCAGGGTCACATATGGGAATATACTGGAAAATATAATACGATATATTAAATAATCTAAACTAGAGCTATGTTTTTCAATATACTGCATTATATGCATGGACCATGTACGGCTATATTGATACATTTAAAATGTGTAGCAATGAAGAACACATATTATAAACTTGGATCTTTACTGTTAGCCACACATTTCATACAGTATATGAAAATATGTGTGATGGAATGTAAGAAAAAAGTGTTTACTGAGAACAAATATTTAAATTTAAGGATTTTTGGACAATTTGATGTTTTGTTAAAGTCATGGCAACATGGTGACAGGAAAATTAGATTTGACATTTAATTTACTTAACTTAATGGATTGGATATATTATTCTGTATATTTTCCATATACATTAAATCATTTACTATGTTGATCATTAATAAGGAAATATGTGTGTGTGTGTGTGTGTGTGTGTAAGAGTGTAGTTTCATTCATTTTGGGTCCAACCAAGTTGTATTCTGCTTATTACACAGGTACTTATCAAATAAATAAAAACTTTATTATTAATTAAAAATATTTTATTTTATATAATTATATATTATAATATTCATATTATTATATTATTTTATCTTATTTGACCACAGAATGCTGTGATTGACCAATCAGAAAAAGTATTCGATAGTGCTATGTAATAAAAGGAAAAGTTGTGGTTAGTTTGTGATTTGATATTTTTTATTTTAAAATTGTATTTATTACAAAGAGTTGCTTTATATGTGCATTTACAGTATCTTCTCAAAGTGCATAAATATATATTTGACACACCATAATAGTAACATCACCATACCCATTTATCCACCTCTGACTGGCAAATTAATTCAATGGAATTAAATGTAAAGGGGGGGAATTAAAAGATGCAAAATTGCAGTTGTGTCAGTCAAATTCACAAAACATCAAAATTCAGTAGCTACATTTAAACACATACACACTTACAATTCATCAAAGAGCTGCACTTTATTATACAGTATAGGCCACAATAGAAACATCCAAATATGAACTTCCAAATGTCACACTTCCTTTGATTACAAATTATCACTTCTCAACAAAGTTATAAGTTATAAACACTTAAGGTGCCTTACATGTCGCCAGTCAAACTGTTTCCACACGGTTATGGCACAAGAAACACTGAAATGTGGATTCAACAGTCTTAGAACCACAGGTTTTTCAGATGGACAAAGAGAAGATGGCTATTTGTTTCCCAACAGGACAGAAGCCTGAAACCTAAGTTTCGCTGCCTATTTTGACTTAAAGGCAATGTTTTTGTATAAAAGTACCTCCCAAAGAAAACTGGTTTCAGACTGACTTCCAAAGCATTATAACTTCACATCTAAAAATCAACAACTTCAAGAAATTCAAGTGAGCTTAAGAGATAAGCAAGCAAATATTAATACTTATTTCTAGTAGAAGTCGAAAAGACAGACATTTATGAATAAATGTACTTCTTTCAATCTCTCCATCAGATGTCTTTTTCTTTTCTTTTCTCCAACTGCTATGCACAGGATTGTGGGATATTGCAGTGCACATCTGTGTTGAGTTCAAAAATTAAGATGAAGGCATCTTAGTAGACAGGACAAGTATGGTTTTTCAGGTTTTGGACACAATAATTATCTGTCCATTTTGAGGAAATAAGGAAGCAGAATGTGAACCCTCTTTTCATGCATGACTTACACATTTAGAGAGATGGCATTTAATGAACCCCAGGGTATGAACTGGGTTAGATTCTGTTAGAAAACAGAAAAGCGTGCTCAATCTAAATATTGACTGAAGGGAAAAGACTGAGAGAGCCTTCATCGTTTAATCCAAAAGAGAAAAGGAAAGATGGACTTCAGCCACTATTACAAGAAAAAAGGGATTTAGTATTTCCTGAAATTTTTCGCTGTTTGTTTGCCATTAGAAACTAAAAAGGCAGAACCCCATAACACACACACACGTGCTGTGGAGGTATTGTCTAGCCCTCTGGGTACACTCTGAAACAGCAGTGTGGAACAAACACACGTAACATGCATGCGTGAGCCACATTAGTTAATATTTGCTAATAAAAACACTCATTTATTTGTATCCTATGTGGACAGTGACCATCAATAGCCCTGATTGTCCACACTTAAACACTGTAGGCTAAGTATGATTAGAGAAAGGCAGCATACACACTCACACGTACATATGTGAATTGCAGTTATATGCACTGAATGAAAATGCAAAGTCTTTGCTTTCTAATGTTATCACCATTACCTTTCAAACAGTTCTCGAGATATAGCCTAGGCCTAATCATTTAAACGGTGGCTGTCAAACCTGTTTTTAAGAAAAAGGCATCTAAATAAATAAATAACAGCCTAAAAATGTAAATGTTAATTTATAATATTGTGCATATATTCAACTATTATTATTTAGGCCTACTTTTTTTTCCAACTAATGAGCGGACATTCCTAAGGTGAATGTTAGGCTATGTACCATGTTGTTCAAAAGCTGTTTTACCAATGTCTTCGCCTTTGAAAAACTTCTTCGCCGATTACATAAAACTTTTTACCATTAATACACTTTCAATATACCTTCTGGTGTGCTTTAGTAGCCTACTGTAAGGAGCGTTAGCCTAAATGCCGCCGTTTGAACCGCCGGTTACAAGCGATCTGTCACGTCACATTTAGTAGCGTCAAAATGGCATTTACCGTTTAAATTCTCATTTAAAAATAAGAGCTAAGGCTTTGATTTATCAAAAACTAACATATAACACAAAAGAGTCTAAATTCAAGTTTGTTTTGCTTAGAAACGTTTGCGTTTTTCCACAAACGGCGTAGGCCTACTGTGCGACTTCCGACTCGAAATGATATAAAGCACGTCACGTATGCTTTAACAAACGAAAGAAGAGGCACTTTATATTGCAAGACATATTCGAGAAAACTGGATTAAAGTCTCACACGTACCTATAGAAACATGGAAGATCAATTACCTGAAAATTCCTGCAAGTATATTCACACTTACTTCACATTATTATAATCTGTTACAATGAGCTACTAGTATCCGTTGTAAGAAACATCAGCGAGCTCTGAACACGCAAAAGAACACACGTCTGTCGGAGAGACGGGCTTATGATTAGCAAATAAAGCCTCATCTCAAAGCCGGTAGACTAAGATAATATTCTCTCACAGGGGAAGACTGAATAGTCAAAAAGTGCAAAATTTCACACAAACAGAGTGCTCAGGTAGCACTTATACATACTCACACTTGTACATGCTCTAAGAACTCTCCAGAGGGCTGCAAGTAAGAATTACGGTAGAGAAATTCATCCGCTAACACTTTGAAAAGTATTCAGAGTTAAGAAAAACACCTCATATTAATAAAAATCAAAAAAAATCAAAATGGCAAACAGTTCACAAAGCAAGTCTCTAAAAGGCAATAGTATGGAATAATATTGCTGTGCCATTCTTTTACTTAACTTTAAGCTCAGATTAAGCTACTCGAGAATTCCCAGAATCCCTCTCTTTATATTCTTACAGAGGAATGGTCTCAATGTATTCTTCTAGATCTACCCTTCCCCTAACCTCCTGCAGGACCATGGACCCCTTTGCTGTTTTCCACTCTCCACTCTTCCTCTCGTCCATGTCGTCCGCCTCTCTCTCTAAGTTATTTCTGCCCTCCCTAGGTGACCTGGCTTTGCCCACACTCCTCTCCACCACCTCATTTTTTCCTGCCTTCATCACTGTGGATCCAGAGGCTGGAATGCGCTTCTTCTTGGGTGGCCCCCAGATGAAGTTCTCGGGCGGCTGGTAGTGGCGCTGGGCGAAGCGGAGCAGGGCGCGTCTCTGAGCGTGTTGGCGCAGTGTGTAGACGAAGTATTCCAGTGCGCTGTGACGCATGTTGGGTAAAGTGCCCTCCACCAGCGCCTCCTCCAACAGCAGATGCACCAGAGGCAGCTTGAAGCTTTCAAAGCCCAGTTCACCAAGACTCTTCAGAATGCGAGTAATACGCAGGTAATTGTGCTGCGACCTGGAAAGAAAAGAGGTCATAGGACAAAATATAGGTTTCACACAATGGCCAACATTTTCAGTTAAAGTAATATTGGTTGTTGACAGAGGAGAACATGTTTTGACATTTTATTTTTTTTAACTGAACTTTGTAAGGAAGGGTCTAAGCAATATATTATTTACATACATAAAACAAAGGCTGGTTCATTGGCATTTTTTGGGGTGTACTTTTCTACCATATTTCTTTGATGACATTTTTTTATATAGTTATCAATACCCTTATACAAATATAAAAATGCTATATTGCATACTGCAATGCCCTTTAGTTGTGACTATAATCAACTTGCTTAATCAAAAATAAACAAAATAATAAAACATACAATATATTTATTTATGTGGTCTAGTTTCACGTATTAAGAAACCTCCACATTATATAAACTTTTGTAATGAATTAATGGGTCACAGTTAGGCCTGTCGCAATAATCAATATATCGACTTATCGCGCGTCACAGTACCAATGAACTTTGTGAAATTTATTTGACATTAGCTACACTTCAAAAGTCCTATATACTGTCTCTATCTAGCTATTTACCTATCTAGTTAGAATTTGTATACATTTACATTTAATCATTTATCAGACGCTTTTATCCAAAGCGACTTAAAAATTAGGATATAAATGAGGTATACATTGAAAATAAAAAATAATAAAATAATTTTCATAAATGTACCTTCAATGCCTTTAATTTTTGTCTTAGAAGTTCAAGTTTAAAAAAATGAAAAAAGTGAAAAAGTGACAAAAATAAGTGTATAATAAGTGAAAAAATTAATAAGTGAAAGAAATCTGCAGTATAACCAAAACAAAGTAGGCCTACATTTAAAATACTTTATTTGAAAACAGGCCTAAATATTGTATGCAGTGTTGATTCTCAAGTAAATTGATCTTGTTTCAAGAATAGTTGAGGCATCTTTGCACAGCCTAAGGCTGCTCTGCTCAAAATTCAGTGTAAAGATGCAATGCTGTATAACAGCTAGACTAAATTATGCCTGCTCAGATGCACTTCAGTCCCTGTAATCAAAGTATCGGCTACAGCTGTGTAAATTAGGGCTGCCCCCTAATAGTCGACTAACCGTTAGTCAACCAGAAGAGGCTTAGTCGATCAAAATTTTATTAGTCACAGGGGAAAAAAATTCACAGAAAGTGGTGAAATTACGTAACGTTAGTCCGTGACAGACAGATTATTAACTGCTGGTCTGTGTAGTACATCGGTCAGCACATGCAAATGTTTATTTCGTTCATCGACCTAAAATGTGGCTTATCATCTGAAACATATAAGTAGTAGCATCATTACATAGCTGCTCACTTTGACATTAACCTAGAAAAATGTGCGCTATTCATGTGTTAGTGCGGAGTGTGGAAGCTGAACAGTAGCGTGCTCACTGCATGAAAGTTAACTTGGATGTGCCGGTGTGATCATTTTTGGCCATACAGATAAGAGTAATACATCTTTTGAATCTGTAAAAAGCCTACTTTCATTTGTGTGCCCTCACAATAACAACAAAACGTTGTGCTTTTGTAAAATAATGAAAGCAAACAGGGTGCACTTTCTGCCGTCTCTGTGAACTTGAGCGTGTCACACAAAAAAAGAACCGAAACTCCATGCTTGCCTCAAAGACATGAAAAATATATCTATAGAAAGCGAAATGTCTACTTTTAAATGAACCAATTAAAATATAACACAAATATTTTCAGATTATGTAATCTGTATGAAACATGCACGTCCACTGTGGAGATGATGATGATGTCATAATAATGAATTATGATGTTAATGCAGTCTTCTTGCTGTTTTTCCCTGAAGCATTCATAATCATTACTTCTGCGGTGCGCTGTGGCAAGCTTTATGTGTGCGCTTGAGTGCTGATAGGCTATCGGCAATTAAAGGCTCGCTATGAATTATATGGTTTATAAATAAAAACATGATTAGGTGACTAATCGCTTCAAATGAATGACTATTAGTCATTTAGAAAAATCTTTAGTCGAGGGCAGTCCTAGTTTAAACGCATTTATACCACCTCTAAGCAGCATTAAACAAGTGTCTGTGTAAAGACACTTAACATGCCACTTCAGAGGCACTTCTGTGCCACCTTTGCAGTGTCAATTAGATACAGTGGGTACGGAAAGTATTCAGACCCCCTTAAATTTTTCACTCTTTGTTATATTGCAGCCATATGCTAAAATCATTTAAGTTAATTTTTTTTCCTCATTAATGTACACACAGCACCCCATATTGACAGAAAAACACAGAATTGTTGACATTTTTGCAAATTTATTAAAAAAGAAAAACTGAAAACTGAATACTTTCCGTACCCACTGTATGTTTACTGGACAACAAGCCAAAAAGACTAAATAAAAACTCATCAAGAAGTCATTTTTGTCCAGTGTAAGAGAGGAATACTCTTAGTTTACTCAAAATGACAGCTTTTTGTATAGACCCATTCACAATGCAGACAAAGTTCATCAAGCGGTGTATCTCTGCAATGTAATGTAAGTGTGTCCTCTATGGCACAGTCCTGGGGCAATGACACACAGTCATCTATGTCTACTACTCAGCCCGCTGCACCGCGGATTTTCTTTCGCTCCCTCCTTGCTTATCGTGCATTCATCAAACTCGTTTGCAATTCTCCCTTTCTGCATTTTTTCCCTGATCTAAATCAGAATTTCTCTAAATGCAAAAGTTGTTGCATCCTGTTCTGTTCAACATCCTCTGTGTGTCTGACCCATTTCTCCGACCCCTGCATAAGACGGTCACATGACGGTGCAGTCGGGGTCATGACTGTGAAATTGTGTTGCAGGGGCAGGAGACTATGGGCCTCATTTATAAAATACTGCGTAGACAGAATCCTAAATTTGATTTTACGATCATTTCTCAAAGTGCGTACGTGTGATTCATAGAACGAACGTACGCACAGAAAACGTGCGTACGCCTCTCTTTTAGATGTGAAATCTATAAATTGCAATGATCTTGAAATCTTGAAACAGTTTCAGATCTCCGCCCTGTAAACAATGTCTAATTAATGTCCTTGACTTATAAAAGAGCACCTGACAATGTCCAAATCTTTTACAAGCGGCAAGAATGGCTTATATTTCCAAAAACCTGCAGCACTCGGGCAAACAAAAGTGTGTACGTCTGCTCAGACCCTGACGTGGCGCTAAGCTCTTTTCCACGTCAAAGACCGTTTTTATAAATATGAACGTTGCCGTGGATTTTTGCGTACGCACACTCTACGATCAAATCTGTGCGTACGCATGTTTTATAAATGAGGCCCTATAACTCCCTGAACTGAAGCATGCTAAATATGGCAGGAGACAGGAGATGGGAGACTAGGAGTTCAGATTGTCATGGAATGTGAAGATAACTGGTGAAGTAGAACATGTGGGAAGAAGAAAGAAATTATAGAGTAGAAAGGACTTTTAAAAACAGCAAACCAGAAAGACAACTCACTCATTCAGGTGCTGGAAGCGATCTTGCCAGTTTAGAGCCCGAGCCACATTCCCGTTTTTATCCAGGAGCTTGATTCCAAAGAAATCCAACATGATCGTATATGCTAGGAGGAAGCGTCTCTTGGCTAAAAAACATTTCACTCCGTACGCATACATAACTCGTGCAATGCAATAACGACGTGATTTGCAGCTGTCGCACTTTTCGTAATGTCATTATAGCATTTTATTTTAAAAATGGAGCGCTTCCTTGTGCTAAGTAGGCCTGCCCCCGACTAAAGATTTTTCTAGCAAACTAGTCACACGTTATACTAAATTGATTAATATAAAAATATATTAAGCATCCTTTAATATATAGGCAGGCGTATTAGGCTATAGCCTATTCCGCGCTCAAGCTCGCGCATAAAGCACCGGCAATGTGCTAAGTAGGCCTGCCCTCTACTAAAGATTTTTCTAGCCAACTAGTCGCACGTTATATTAAATTGATTAATATAATAATATATTAAGCATCCTTTAATATATAGGCAGGCGTATTAGGCTATAGCCTATTCCACGCTCAAGCTCGCGCATAAAGCAATTCCCTCAAAGCAGCGGCAAAGTGATTCTGAATGTGTTGGCAGAAAAGAAGACATTTTAATAGCAGCATACCTTTATCTCATCCTGAGTGAGTTCTTGAGCATAAAAATTTAGGCCTTGTTCTCTGAGTGGGAAGAGCCTGTAAAAGCAGCAAAGAAACATGTTAGGATCTACCTCTGAATTTATCATTATTTATCCATTAGAGACCTGACTGAGAACTCGGGATAAACATTTGCAAATACATGCTATTTTGGGTTAGGGTTATTTTGTGTAACTTTTGCATAAAAATGCTTAATTACTGGTGCTTTGCATTGAAGGTGTGCATTTTCTACATAACCTATGAATCAAACCCATGACCTTGACATTGCTCTATAGTTTGAACGACAGGAATATAGTTATTTACTATAGTTAAATTTCATTAGCCTATATCATATACTGCATCTGCTTTATATCAACCATATCAAGTTAGCTAGTTATCAGTATTGGCACTGGCCATTAAAAAAGCCATATCAGTTGTGCTGCAAAATACGCTCAAATATATTAGTGTATTCATATATACATTAAACATTAAATTGAAAACAATAAATGAAAATGAACAGTGGTAAGAGTGTATATAACATAATGAATGATTGAAGACAATAAATCATGATGATTGAATTAGCACCACAAATAAATCATGCTGGAACAGGCAAAAGTGACCGTCACTAGGATATGGGGAAGGGGACTAGGGGGAGAGAGAAAAGACACACACACAATGCAAAAAAGAGTAAATTTCTTCCTGCCAGATTTTTGATCCTACATGTTGCCGACCACTAGTGAAGGACAACTCGCAAACCTTGGCGCATCTTTTTTTTCCATTCCTCTCCTGTTTCTCTTCTTTCTCTGAAGCCATGACATTCTGGCTGGCTGCCTGCTATAGCAGGCAAGCTTTCGCGGGCATTTCATCTTAATTTACTTAAAGAGGCAAAATGCTTGAACGCACTTGTGTTTTTACATTCGCTAATTGATATTATGCAAGTAGCCTTGCAAGCATACGGAGTGTGAAAAAATGAGTAGGGGGGAATGAGAGAAGCTAATCACTTTTTCCTCGGCAGGAGGGGGTGCTGAGGTACGATTGGCAGCATATGCGTGAAGCTTGATTTTAGAACTGTGTTGTTATTTCACGCGGGCTTGGGGCATCATGTCCTCCCCCTCTTCCTCACCCTCAATGCTCATAATAACAGCACAGGCAGGAACGAACAGGAGCTTCAGCTCTGGGGGTGAGTGAGGTAACGGCACCCTACTGACAACTTTACAAGAGCACATGACGTAAAACCTCTGTTTAACCTCCGTACAACCTTCAACGTTCACTGAATGTTACATTGCCAGCAGATTCAAATTCATTACTGTTTACATGTTTCCTCCTTGGTGACGTAGGTATTGTATAATATTTATTTTTAAAATGAATTAGAGGTTGAAAAAGAGGATGACTAAAGCATGAAACAAAAAAACATGACGTCAATTTGTAGGCCAACACGAAAGGCTAATTTTAGTTTGTTTGTTTTTTTTGGACTCAGTAGAATAAGGTCTGTGGTTAACATTATTTGAGGAGACTTTTATGTCACGTTCTACAACAGAAATTTCACACATTTATACCTCAAGCGTGAAAACTGAACCTGCTGTGTGCTTTAAAAACGCTGCTAACACCAGCAGCTGTCAAGCTGATCAAGCAAGTGCTTGTGGTATATGAAGTCCCTATTTAGCTACTTTTTTACCTAGTAACTTACATTTTTAAACACATTGTTTTAAAAATGTCATTGGTTATGGTAAACAAAGATTACAGTATGCGAAAGTCTCTTAAAAGTAAAGTTAAAACCCATTAGAAATTATTGAGGAAGTCCATGGCTCGAAATGCTAATTCTCTTCCAGGTTTTAGGCCTGCAGCTCTATTTTAAGGACCAATAAGTTCAAAGGGAAATGCTTTGTATTTTTCTAGTCAATAGTAGCATGAAGCAAATGCAGGAGACATGTTGTCCTTCATGTTGCAGCAACTGCAGTAGGATTAATTTCACCTTCTAGTTACAGTATATAACAGGTGATGTGAATGTTCAGTATTTTTTCCATGTTGACCTTGAACAAGTGCCTCTTTAATCATCATCGGAATCCAAAAGAGTTGCTGAGTATTTCTTTTAGTCGCATACGAAAATACCTCTTCATGTCTCAATACATACTATAGAATGTTTATTCATTTTTAAAGCTATGATGCTTTATGCACCCAAGCAGCTGGATGCTGTTTTACTATAGTGCCTGCAAGATGTTTAATCATGCTTGATTTAATCTCGAATTCTTAGAAAAGCTTACATACATTTCTATAATGTGGGCTGCACTTATCTTCTGCCATTAAGATTAAACCTTTATCATTTGCATCTTTAATGTTAGGAAAATTGGCCATTTAATCAGGAAATGACCTCAAGTCATAGACATTCCCCAAAGCTTCTTCAGTTACTAAAGAGATGATGTCAGCCATGATGTCAGGTCTATGAATATTAAAGCAACGTTAAACTTTAAAGAAACTTTTATCTAATGTAGTCCTAAGGCCATCTTTTGTCACCAAAAAGGATGTTATTGACCCCTTCACCTGCAGGTACCACAATTGGGCTGATTTTGTCTTTATAACTGCCTTTGTCCGCTTTCATGCTCTTGTTTGATTTTGCCTTGATCTACAGGATTTGCATCTAAAGAAAATGAATTTTATTTTGAACAGATGGTAAAGAAAAGGATATCTAATCCATGTCTCGCCATCCAAAAATCCTTCATGCACATATTAGTTTGCAACTTTCTCTGTTCTTTGAACAAGCAGTGATAATAATAAGTGCCTGGCCGATAACAATTTGTGAAGTCTCAGTTATTAAGTATTATTAAGCAATTACTGACTAGGCGCTTTATTGCTCGCAGAGAAGCTGGAATATTACAGAAATGTCTTACCACTGAATGTATGTGTGATTGTGCTCTAATTTTTCATAGTCGCCCCTCCATTTAGTGAGGATTTCTTCAATATAAATACCTGCAGGGACAAAGAGAAAAATAATAAATAATCACAACAGGCCAAGCTCAGCATTAGTCACTTAAAACTCTATTAAAAGGACAGTTTTTCAAAAGCCTATGACTTTATTTCTTCTATGGAACATTCAAAAGAAAAGCAAAAAGAAAGCAAAAGCGCCATAAATGTATCATAATTGTAGTCCATAAGACTTCTTATGAACAGACCAAAATTTAAATCGTAATTTCATCATCTTTTCTTTCAGTGAGCTCTCAAGCTGAGAATTACTAGGACCTGATCGCTGAATCATTGAGTTAAATAGTCTGTGAACAAATCATTCAGACCAATGTATAATAGATCAAATGATTCATTTAAAAGATTTGATAAAAAATAATGATTCATCCACATATGAGACATGATAGGACAGCGTGTTGTTTCAGATCAGAGTGCAAACAGACGTGTAGGTCATCCGTGACATGGAAACACTGAGATCTCAAGGGAACACAGAGCACAGCAGTGTGTGTGTGTGTGTGTGTGTCCTTCTGCCTAAACAGCAGTGAAGCAGTTATGCTGCCATTAAATGCTTGCACAACAGATCCAGTTAATTCTCAAACATGCCCACAATAACCAATCAATGGCTCCTCTGAGATGTCTTCACTGTCTGCCTGCCTAAACTGGCCCCGCAGGAAAACATTCAGCTAATGAAGCACTCCAGAACCCATGTTCTTCCCTTACACCAGCTGGCATGTGTATTCGGTTGTAAAAACTGCTTTATGTTCATTTGGGTATAAATGTTCTTGCAGGATGTATGTTCATGTCTTTGTGTATTGTAATATGCTTGTGTTGTGAGTCTCACCATCAATATTTTCAGGTGAAATATTGTAGGTGGGATCAACATGACTCTTTTGTTTTCTCAAAATCTCTTTTTTGGCAGACACATTTAATCCAAAGCAAATTTCAGAACATGTCTATTGTAACAAAGCAATAGCTCAATCAAAAATGAAAACTCATTATTTACTCACCCTCATGTTGTTGCAAACTCATATGCTATTATTTTTTCTATGGATACAGAATACAGAAGGATACATTTTAAAGATATATATATATATATATATAACCTTTTACATAAAAAAGGTTGGGTCATAGTGACCACAGCTGAGAACCGCGAATAAAGACAAAAACATTATGAGAGTATAAAAATAGTCCTTAAAACTTTGTGTGAGAAACAAGATTTTTTTAAACATTTAGGTTATTTATCAGCCAATTCAAGAAGCTCTCAACTCGAGAACCTTTACAAATTAATTGAAAAGCTCAAAATAATGATTATGAAAAAGAGGAATGTGTATATTCTTCTACATTTTTTAGCATCCCACAGAAACAATAACAGCACACAAATTTGAAGCAAGTAAATAATGACAGAATTTTTGTTATTCAGAACTATTTCTTGAAGTAATCAAGGGTAAAATTCTTTTAAGATGACTCTCTTGCTCATGGATCATCTGTGTAAACCATGGTTTGAATCTTATTGGATTACCAGCCAGATCATTATTTGCACCACGCTTTTGTTCCTGAAATGCCTGAAATTTCCCCATGTAACAATTAAGACACAGTCTCGTTATGAGAATCAAGGGACTTCCAGGGAGGAAGTTCCTTTAATATAATGGTGATTTAAAAACAATAAAGCAGATTTGTTTGGCAAACATTTTGAACCCCATACAATGCTGTCCTGGAAAGAACAGCAATAATATTAGTTCCTTATTGAAGAATACAGGAAATAGTATGAAAAGACAAAAGAAAGAGAACCCCCATATGGTACAATTTAGTACACACTAGCAGCACTTCACTCACACACATTCAATGGCTGCAATAAAAAGCACTGAACACATACAAAGAAATTTTGAGTAACACAAGTGATGGCATTCTTTTCAGTCCAAATCCCATTGTACAGTCATTAAAACGAAAAAGCAAACACACACTCACCATCCGGCACCAGGGGGATCTTATTCAGATAAAACCTCAGATTGCGGTATTCGTTCGGCTGACGAAGCTCCTTGTAGTTCTGAGCAACAGAATCACAGATTAAAACCAGGACAGAAGGATAGAGAGAGAGGAGAAAAACTGTACATTTGGTCTCTACTCTGTTTTCTGCTGACTGTACTGCAATATTAACTGCAAATTTCATATTCAAAGATGATCGGCCTTCAAGCTCTGTATGAGAAACGTGAAGAGAGTAGACGTAACTCTTTACCGGATAACTGTGCCGATACTTGTACAAGTCCTTTGCGGCATAAAAGCTCCTTTTCATCCTAGTAGAGGACTCCATCATGTCACCAAACTGTGAGAGGAAAGGAGAGAGAGGAGTGGAATGGTTACATAGGCAGTGAAAGAGTGTATGAATGACTTCACTCATCAGCATCTGAGCTACTTTGTCACTTCTCTTCCCCATTGGGATGCAAAGGCTGTTAGACAAGAGAGAAGAGCTCCATTTTGTAGACTATGTACTTTTTCTAACTAATTCATGACCATTTTTAGCTCTCAGCCTCTTGTGATGTTCAAACACTGAACATCTTTACGGTTGAGTGAAAGCACAGCACAGAAATCTTGCTCTCTTACACACATCATGAAGCGGATTGCTAGTAGAGGCCAATGTCATACTGAAATGCCTGTGAGGCTTATTAATTAATATCATTAAATGTAATTCTTCTTATATAATTTTGTATTAAATAATACAATGGTCTTTGATGCAGGGCTCACAAAAACCAAACTATAATGGTGAGTGTGAAAAGCTGTTATCAAAATCTTAGCTTCAAATTAAGAAAAATCCAATTTCCTTCTTCCACTGACAGGAAATTCAACAGAGCAAATTTCCCATGAGGAAATAGGTCACATTGAACAGGTCACAGTCTCAGTGGCCTTAAAATCCAGAAACCTAGAGAGAACATGAGCCATTTTAAAACAAATAACATCAAACAAGGTCAAAGATACAATGCTTTAACCTTCCTATTGCTCTATAAGAAAAGTTAACTCTAGGATACAACACTGGCAAAAAGCGCACAATTTCCTGTTTAATTTGAAACATTTTTGGAATTTCATATTATCTCATGTATATTATAATAATGTCTGCATTATTTTTCTATTAGATAATGAATGGTGTGTATCTCAGAGCTACAATTTCAGTTGTGTATTTCACAAATAAAACTGTAAGGGGCCTTTTACATTGGGTGCCAATTATACCCAATCATAGAGGACAGTATGTGTAAGGGACTAAATCGTAGAAAATCTTTTTATTCACTGATCTCATGAAAATGCATAAACAAAACTATGTAGACCAAAAATAAAAACAAAAACTAGTATACTTAAAGCTACAGAACATGCTGAAAAGCCAAAGGTGAAAGGTCAGCTTCTTCAAATATGGGTCAGACAGCTGTTTTAATAAAATGTGCTTTTGTTGTGTTTATTTTCTATTAGTAGTAGTAGTAGTAGTAGATATCACTAACAATGTCACAAAGCCTACATCCAACTATGTGGTATTTATAGCGTCATGCAAAAAACGGCACAAAAATGACACAATAGAGCTCATTACAACTGCGACTGTGCTTGGTATTTAGTCAAAATTTTACCCTAAATGTGCAATTTTCAGTATAGCGCCGTGTTCTTTACAGCTGTACATCGCTAATTTAATAATAGCTACTTATATGGTGATAGATAGATTGACATTGCCCACGCTTCAGGCAAGCGCACGCGTGCTACACCACATGGATTTACATAGATTTTAAATATCAACACCACAATCATAACTACACGCTGTCATATTTGATGCAACCGACTCTACGCGTACAATTCCTACTGATGCGCCTAACGACCGTTTTCATGGTTATTGTTCCTCCTTTGTTATTTTTCAGTGCTCATCAGTGATGAGGTACCTGCGGTGATCCGTGATCCAGCTGCTCGGCTCCTCTGACTGCATCCGCCGGGCTCATGGATTCGGAGATGCCGCTGTCCTCCTCCTCTCCTCCCGGCTGATGCTCGTCGCTCTCCGAGTCCGTTTCCCACGTCGAGTCGCATTCTTCCACTGTGCTCGGCTCCTTGTATCTCCAGCTGCCCATCAGATTGCCCATTTAAACCCTGTCCACTGTGCCTACATAGTTTAAAGTCCTCGTTCGGCTCAGGATCGAGCTTTAATATGATGTGGAACTGGCGTTCGGATCCCTTTTATGTGACTAATGGGGGATTTCCAGCGCTGTGATGAGAACACACCCCCTTCTGCCCAGAGATCAGCACTGGAGATGAGGAGGATGATGATGATGTGACTTGAGCATCATTTAAGGCGTCTCTATACTGCTATACTCTATACTGGCTGCTCCGAGTCTGCTCTAAATTCTGTGTAAATAGCCTACACGACACATAGATGTACAGTAGGCTATACTGTTTGCAGAAGCAAAGCGGTTCTGATGCTGCATCAGTGTAGCCTAAAACTTTGTCATTGACATTACAAAGCATGCATTTTTAAATTGCATTATTTCATAACGTTTTTTAAAATGTCTTTGTTTCAAATGTCTATTCAGCCTAAAAAAATAAAATTATTCAAAAGTTTAGGGCTTTATTGATGTTTTTGAAAGAAGTCTCTTATGCTCACTAAGGCGGCATTTATTTGATCAAAAACAATAAAAAAGTAATATTTACAATATAAAACCTTTTTCTTTCTATTTGAATATAATTTAAAAAGTAATTTATTAATGTGATGCAAAGCTGACTTTTAGCACTGCAGCAATTACTCCAGTCTTTAGTGTGTATTATTTAATCATTCTTATTTAGCGCTCAAGAAGAAATCATTCTTATTTAGCGCTCAAGAAACATTTTTATTGTTATCAATGTAGGAAACAGTTGTGCTGCTTGATATTTTTGTGTAAATACTTTTTTTTTTAGGAATGATGAATAGAAAGAACAGGTTTTAATGGTTTACAATTGTTTTACTGTTTTTAATCAATTTAATGCATAATTGCAGAATGAAAGTATTAATTTCTTTAAAAAAATCTTATTGACCCCAAACTTTCAAACGGTAGTGTATGGACCTTATGTAGCCCCGCCCCGTTTCAGCACTGCTCTCGTTGTCTTCTGCCTTCCCTTTGTATTTCCACTGTGTGAAGTTAAGTTTGTACAAATTTATGAATGAAACGCTCGTTTTAAAATCTACCCGGTCTACTGAGATTTATGACATCCACTTGAACATTACAAAGCTTTTGTTAACTGGCTAAGTCAGAGCCGAGCGGCCCTATACACTAACTACACAAGTTGCGTAGGGCCCCACAAATTCCGGTGCTGAGAAGAGGAAAAATAGGTAGGAAAGTCAGCAAGATAAAGGTAAGTGATGAATTACGAATAGATGTTGTTGAAACGGCGGTTGCATCGTGTTTTGTCGATTTAATTATGCATTTCATGAGCGCATTGATGTGCACATTGGAGGATGGGGGTGGTGGTTAGGTGAAGCCGTAGATAGTGGGGGCCCACTATTTTGCAAATCTGCTTATAGGGCCCCCAAAATGCTATAGGGCCAGCCCTGTCACCAGCTACTGTAATTACTTTTCAACAGAGATGCTGGAGCTACCGCAAAAATAAAAGTTCAATTCTAAAGATGTTTGCACACTTGTTTCTCTGACGCATTAGATCTATAGGTGCAAAGATGACTGTAGACAAATCAGGAAGCATCTACTGAAACTACAGTATAGCTACTAAAATAACTGAAAAAAAATCGCAGGTGTCTCATTTTGTCAAAGCTCTGAAAAAGCTGATCGATTTTGAGCAAGTGAATAAAAATATTAATCATTCATAAAAATCATTGACACGCTTGTTACATACAGTATCTGCCAAATCCATGAGTGTAATATTTGTCAAGGACAAATATAAAAATAGGGGAAAATCATGCAAATCGTGTCTGTTTTACTACACTACATTTTCTGTCAGAATGCTTGCATAAACATTTTCAAACACTAAATTGCATTGAAGATCATGTATGGACACCTTTATTGCCCTAGAACAGTGGTTCTTGGATTCAAAAAGGTTGGAATCCTCTCAAAACAAGAGCAGTCAGGTTTCTAGCCCCGAATCAAGCTAAGAAACAATTTTCTATTTTCTAATAACTTATCAAATAGATATCACTCACCAGAATTATCTGCAGGATTGTTAAATGTATGGTTCAACCTAAAACAAAAAATTAAATAAAAAATGAAAATTTGCTGAAAATGTATTCACGCTCAGGCCATGAAAGATGTAGATGAGTTTGTTTTTTCATCAGAACAGATTTGGAGAAATTTAGCATTACATCACTTGCTCAAGAATGGATCCTCTGCAGTGAATGGCTGCGTCAGAATGAGAGTTTAAACAGCTGATAAAAACAACATCTGCACAACTGTCCATCAACAATGTCTTGTGAAGCGAGAAGTTGTTTGTTTGTAGTAAACAAATCCATCATAAAGACATTTTTAACTAACCTTTTAAGAAATTAACTGATGGACAGGGGTTGTGTGGATTACTTGTGGATTATTGTGATGCTTTCATCAGATGTTTGGACTCTCATTCTGGCAGCATCCATTCACTTCAGAAGGTCCATTGGTGAGCAAGTGATGTAATGTAAAGTTTGCCAAATCTGTTCCAAGAAAGACACAAACTCATTTACTGTGCATCTTTGATGGCCTGAGGGTGAGTAAACTATGGGAGAACAATTACTTTAATGCATGAAATTTCTCTTGACAAATTTTCAAGGCTTAGCCCAATCAATGTGTGTAAGCAATTCAAAATTAATCCAAAACTTAAAAATAAATAAATAACTAAATTAAATTAAATATCATTACGTAATTAATTATGTAATAATTAAATAAAAATCCTGAATTAAAAAAAATCCTGCATAAATATTTTCAAAAGCTAAATCTGTTACATGATGTTATGAGGATGCATTCATTTTCTGTTTATAGGAAGCTGTATCCATTTTTAAAGAGCCACTAGGTGGCATTACCATTTGTAAAAAGCTTCAAATGAAGCATGTGCAGTGAGCTACAGAAGGATGAGGGTAGAGGCCGGTGTGTCATGAGGTCAACTGCAAGATATTTGCACAATAAGTCAAGCATGATCATGATCGATCATGTGTGAGAAGCAAGTTCAGTGTGCTTTCAATCCCAGATCAGACCTCAACTCATTGCTGAAGAGGCAAGTATCTCAAATTTGTACGTTTAAGTGATACCGACAGGAGAAAGTCAAGTCTCTTTAGAAAGCTTCTTTTTTTTTACACCTTAAATTGTTGGAAGAACAATTATGACTGAAGATCATCCTGAGACCTAAATCTCAAATCCTTTCAACTCTTGTTCTCTATCTTTTCCCTTTCTCTTTTCATGTTGCTCACAATTCTAAATAATGGACTTACAGTCTTCCCCGTTCACTCTGTCTATTGTTCATGCTATAGTGCATTTATCATTAATTTATCACTTTGCCTCTTCATGTCTCTTTCCATCTAGTTTTCCTCTCTATCTCTCTCATTGCCTTCTGTTCTCCTTTCATCATGACTCTCTCTCAGTGTGTGTGAGTTTAGTAAAGTGGATAGGCTCTCCAGTGACTGTGGGGTAATTATCCTTCATCACAAGTCATGCTCTGCTGCTTCCTGCCTGTTGGGGGCTGGGAGACACAGGCCCATCAGTGCAACTGTTTCTGAGGCCTATACAAGAGGGGCTTCGAGATTACAGAAAGCTTGTCAACATACCAAGCTGACATTCTCTCTCTTTCTTTCTCATTCATTCACTCAGCCACTCACACACCCATTCAGCTTTTGCTTTTGTGTCAAAATTGGCATTTATGAAAGAAATAGTCCCATTACTGGCCGCTGAAAGTTAAGATAATTGAGATTTTTAATGCTTTTGAAAGAATTGTCTTATTCTCACCAAGGCTGCATTTATTTACTTTTTTAAAAAGTAAAAACACAGTAAAAACTGAAATATTTATTTTATTCCTGTGATGACAAAGCTGAATTTTCAGCAACCGTTACTCCAGTCTTCAGTGTCACATTATCCTTCAGAAATCATTCTAATATGTTGATTTGATGCTCAAGAAACATTTCTTATTATTATCAATATTGAAAACAGTTGTAGCCACCAGTTCAGCAGTTCTGCTTCATAATTGTGTGGATATGTTGTGATACTTTTTTTTACTTTTTTTTTTTTTTGCAATCTTTTGCAACATTAAAAATGTGTTTAATGTCACTTTTGATCATTTCAATGCATCCTTGTTTAGTAAAATTATAAATTTCTTTAAAAAAAAAAACAATCTTACTCCATACTTTTGAATGGTAGTTTAACATGGTTTCCGCAAAAATTTTAAGCAGCACAACTCTTTCAACACTGATGATAATAATAAGAAATGTTACTTGAGCTGAAAATCAACCCATTCAAATTATGTCTGAAGGATCATATGACAATGAAGACTGTAATGACTGATCAAATTAAGCTTTGTCATCACAGGAATAAATAACAGTTTAGAATATATTCAAAGAGAAAACGGTTATTTTACATTGTAAAAATATTTCACAATATTACAGTATTTACAGTACTTTTATGTAAATAAATGCAGCCTTGGAGAGCAGAGACTTTTTCAAAATCATTAAAAATCTTAATTATTTCTTTTGACTGCCATTGTATGTTTTGCCGAGTGTAACTTGTAGTTGTAACAGGCATTAAGACCTTCTCAATCTGCTCATCCGCTGAAGGGAGCAATCTGTGTCTATTGAGTTAGCAAAGAAATCAAGAGTAGTTTCTACGCAATTTGACAATCATACTTAGCAAATTGCTTGCCTGCCACTTTTGGGAGCCATTGTGCATTTTATAGCTGTTTTCTCATTACAAAAGCCATTTGTGCCAGGCTATGAGAGAAGAGAACAACAACGCAACAAGCAGAACGAGGAAAGGTGGGCGGCGGAGTTTAAAGAGGAGGCAAAAATAATAATGACTTAGCCATCCCGTCCATTAATAGAACCGTAAGGAGCATGCATGCTCCTGAGTCAGCATGTAGGACCTGCTGAAGTGAGCTTAAATCTCTTGGTGGACATCCAAAGCTAATTTATGGGTCAAATGGCTGAATGACTGCCTGCCTCACCAAACACTGTGACTGACAGGAGACTTGAGTCAAGCTACCAGGATGGGGGGCCCTTAAAGTCAAGTCACCTTAG